AAAAGGGCATTTCCCCTAGGCATGTAAAAGCAGCCCCAGTTGAGACAGGGCCCCCTGGAGTTGGAGGAATGCGGAGATGAGTGGGTGGGTCAGATGATTAGTGTCCACATGACTTCCAGCAATTGTGCCAAAGTGCTCGCTTGCAACACAAAAATCACTTATCCAGCGTTTTGGACAGAACAAAAAGAAATGCTCTTAAAACAGTCTTCTGAAACTTGCGCTAACAATGAACACTCGTAAATTAAGTCTTGGATGTTGTGACCGCTGCTCAGGCCACAAACTTTTCCCATCAGAGCCACAGTCATTTGACAGGAGGCAGGAGAGGGAAGCTGAACTTCTCCCCAAATTAAGCTTTTCCACTCCAAACTGCTATTACTGTATTTAAAAACACCTTTTCTTCTTACAGGGGTTATTTTTCACTCTTAAAAAAGGAATTTTTGTCCGAGGTTTATTTGTAAGTATAATTACTAGAGTTTGGGGGAGGGGCGGAAGAGTTCCACACCTCTTCTGACCTTTCCTAGCCCAATCTTGTTGCACTCCACCCTACAGTTGCCTGACAGGCCTTCCTTCAGGTTTGTTTGAGCTGAAGAACTGGATGAGCGAGGGCATGTCCAGACTGACCCTTTTGGTGGGGTCTCAAATAGGGTCAATTGAGATCTGGGAGAGAGGAGTGGTATGCCTTTTGGTGCAATCCTCGCCTCCCAATGGTGTAACGAGAGACAGGCAGCCTATATGTGGTGGTTCAAGGGAGAAAAAGCAGCCAACCCAAAGCAGACTCTTGCCGCCACCACCCCTTTTGCGCTCCCATTTGGCTTCACTGAGTTAGAGGAGATAACGGAGTGGGTCACGCGGAGAAGGGGTGTATGCAATCCCCCACTGCCCCCCAACCTTGCCAGTGGAGATGAAAGCGATTCCTCCTTTTGTACTTTGTATTGTCCACACAAAAAAAATGAAGAAGAGATGGGGGTTGCTTGGAGGATGCAAAGCAGGTCAAAAAGGGTGTGTGTGTGTGCGCATCTGAAGAGACCTTCCCAACAGGATCTCGGTGTCCATAGAAAAACAAAACGGGCTGTTAACGGTCTGCTGCAGACCCACCTCTCCATTCACATGTTGCTTTCCAGTTATGCTCACCTTTTCTGCCTCTCTTGCACACAACAGACATGCTCCCCATGAAGAAAAAGAAGGGAAAAACCCCCAAGGTGTCTTTCTTTGCTCTCCGAAGTGTTCAGTCTGCCAATATCCTGAAGTGGCCCATTTATTAAGCACTTCACAGCACCAGAAATTCAAACCAGAAGGAGCCTCGGCAGCTTTGACAGCTGGAAGGCTCCATTTTAGCTGGTCCCC